GATAGATAGATAGATAGATAGATAGATAGATAGATAGATAGATAGATAGATAGATAGATAGATAGATAGATAGATAGATAGATAATTCCAAAGTTGCCCAAATTGGAAAATTAACACCAATTGTTTGGCTTCCAGTATTTAATATTTGACAATATATAGTTCCAGATTCAGAAAACTGAATCCTCCCTCATGAATTGATAATTGTATTTACTGTAAAATTATCCTAAGAATCAAAGAACCTCATAGAAATTTGTCTAATGAAAGAATTTATTTTCTGAAAATATTTTCCAGAGATTTGAAGATACATGATCTCATAATCCCATAATTGGTTATTCAGGTGTTATTATTGATGCTATTCAAGAAGACAATATTTCAGTGATTATTCATGAAGGATACAGTTATGTATCACTGAAAGTGGAAAAAAATATTTTTACATCATATTTAAAGTGAAAGTGAAAAAAATTATTTTTATCTCATACCAAAGGCCTCATCTATGTTTCATAAGAGGATTAGTTCTTTCTAGAGTATCTCTTCTCTTTGTTAAAGATCAGACTTCCTGGCTTTTTTTCCACTGTTAATCCTCATACCTTTCCTTTTAGCGGCAATCCCAATTCAACCGGTTGGAAACCTGCGTGTGATTGACTCCTCACAAACCCGTATTCGACTAGAATGGAGCCCAGCACGGGGGAGCACAGGCTATCGGCTCATCTGGCGCCCTGCAGGTGATCAACGCTTCCTATATATATTTTCCTATACTGTATATGCACCTCCTCTATCATTGCCACCCATTATATTATCCAAGAAATTAACTAGCTCTTTTCCATGGGACAGGTGGGCCTGAGAGGAGTCAGCTGTTGCCAGCCCATATTAATACCTATGTCATTGAAGATCTGCAGCCAGGAGGGCGCTACGACATCCGCATCACAAGTCTGAGTGGCAACCGGGAGAGTGAAGCTGTGGCCATTGTTGCCACCACTGGTAACCTAACTCTCTGCTATCCAGAGATAGAAGTCTACGGCACAAAAGTTTCTAGAGTAGCCTCTAGTTAGATATGGAATGTAAATTTCATATCTAAGAAGAATTAAAGACAAAGCAGAGATAAACCAATCTTATCTGGTTGGTTTTCATCAATGGCCCCTGTTGGTTCCTACTTCTGGGGAAACCATTGTTGTGTTTTCTTGCAGCTAAGAGACCTTCTTTAGAGTTTTGTTGTTCTTTCATGCAGATTAGAGAAATTATATTTTTATCTGATGTGTAATTGTAAGGGTCTTCTTTAATATTGCCAAAGACCAGTAGATATTTGGATCTCTCATCTTTTGTGATATGTAATTCCATTGGCTGTTGCAGCTCCATTTTTAAACTAAAAACTAAAAAATCCATCCGTTCAAAATAAATTTTAATGAACAGTTTTTAAATTGTCCTTTAAAAAAAAAGTTTAAACATCACACAAAGCTAAATGTATTACCTAAATTACATCACACAAGGCTAAATGTATTACCTAAAACTGAATGGAAGCTTAAATAAAAGCATAAGTAGCTTTTCTAGATATTAGTCTAACCTTTTAGAAGAAAAACTCCCAAATAAGGATGCTACACCAGAATGTTGCTATTAGGCTGTTTCTTGCACACTTGTCTATAGAGCATATAAGAATGTAGTTCAAAAAGCAGAGTTTCAACAGTGGATATTTTATTTTCAACTTTAACAGTATAAATTATCTCTATTTTATTGCTTTAGTTTTTTATGTATAGTATTGCTTTTCTCTGTATAATATTCAAGTTGATGTGTCACAGACAATAACACTAGTTTTGCACATAGTTGTATTATATACTACTCATCTCTGGTATATAAATACTAGATCTGTAAAACACTTATGCA